GACGGTTGAAACATTTTCTGTGGGTACAGTTGAAGCAGAATGTTATTTTTTTTTTTGTAGATGTCGAAAGTTTGAGTGAGGAAGACTTCCAGATAGAAATTGACTTCTCGAGATATAGTAAAGCATATGAGGAAGTGAAAGCTGGAGATTCACTACAGAAAGCGATGGGCAAGCATGGTATAAACCACTGTTTCCTGTTGAGATACATTCGAAAGTGAGATGCGTCGGGCAAAGACGATTCCAACATTCAACCTAGCTCTCGCAAAACGATCCATATAACCGGAATATGTTTACTGGGATCGATTATAGTCCGACACTTGTAACATATCGTAATCCGGAAAATACAACGGAGAGACGTATTCCCGAAAATACTATCGAGTCTGCAGTTGTTCCTATATTTAATGAAAATGCAACTGAAGGTTATAACCTTCTCTTTTAACTGAAGAATTATAGTTATCTCTCCAGACAATTATTAAACAACAAGCTCTGTATGAATCACCAGTTCCAATAATTCAGCAAGTAAATGTTCATGAAACTGAAGAAACTATAAATACATTACCTAGAATTGGCATCATCGGCATCAGTAAGGCCATTACCAAAAGCACCCCCAAGGAAATTCAGTGAAGTACAAAATTAAAACGGGCTAAAGCGATACAACTTAAGAAAAGATTAGACGGAAGAAAAGGTAAACAAAATTCACTAGGATTAAAAACACAGTCAGCAGAAATTGTCATAGGAAGAATCAGAAGGGAAAGAATACTACTGTATTATTTACTTAGCACCATATTCAGAGAGCAGATCTGGATTCAATGTACTTTGTGTAAACAGTGGGTTCACGAAGAATATACAGAAGGTGGTCTCAGCTACGTTTGATACAATTGCGATTCTGGATACTCTGATCAATCTCTAAGCCTAATGTATTCTTAAAGTACCTTTTAAATGTTTATTTGATTTAAGAAGTGTTTTCTTCAGTTTATTGTGAATGCTTATTTGATTAAAAAAAGTTTTCTTTTACTTGTGATGCACTGTTCGGAACCTTTGGTGTAGTAATGAATATTACTGGAGTTTTATCTCGACACCAAACTGTTATTTTCAACACCTCGACACGTGTTTCAATCACCAGTAATACTCGTTTTATTCTGAAATTATTATCGTTTTTTTGTGATTTCTTTAAATGTTTACTACTAATCTAAGGCTGATAAAAGACATGTTTGATATTATTGAGACCGGCACAGAACAATATGCTTTTGAACACATTCGAGAGTCTAGAAATCGGAAAATGGGAATGGGATCTATGAATGGGGATACAGGAGATACAAATAGCTCTAAGTTTACTCTTTTACGTAATAATTACAAGAAGCAACTGAACAGCTATTAGATACCATAACAAGGTCATCGAAGTACTTAATTATGAAGAATTAAGATTGGTACAAAGACGAACTGTAATGAGCATTATTACCGAAGATAATGGTTTGCTCCTATAGATATAAAATGCTGTAATTCAGTTATAAATTCGACAGACAGTGATTCAGTTTGGACGTGTAGCAATATTATTTGGATTACATACATTTTACATACATTAACGAATAACGTATCATTCCTAGCCTATCATATAGGTAACACTTAAATAATAATTCTACAGCATATTATTTGTGCTAATGGCTTTGGTACGTGAGCAAAGTAAATGTGAATGTTACTGAGACAGAAATCTAGTAAAGTATTTCTTACTCGAAAGTCGTTGGCTAGACCTGTCTTCGAAACAGGCCGTCGTCTGAGGCAAAGTAAGGCTTAGGCTACACCTATATTGAATCCGTATTTCTCCCGACCCGATGTGGGACGACCATCGGACGACATCGGAAGAAAAATAAACACTTAGGTTTTAAAGTAGGTGCATTCATTGGAAAGGGTAGTCCGATACGACAATAAACGATCACTACCAATTACTGACCGACGAGTAGTAAAATCAAAAGTGTTTGCTTTTAGTCCGATCTTTCATTCCGACGGAGTGGTAATAATGAATAATAAAATTGATAGAGTTTTCAATAATTCTTGTGAGAGATGACCCTCGCCTGTGGTACCAGCGGAACAAGGATTACCATAATAGTGATATGAAGCCTAAACTATGGGGAGTTATTGGGAACCATTTACTGGTAAAAGGGCTGATGCATGCTCTGAAGTTAGACTGGCCAGTTATGTCGTATTTTTTGCCTTCAAGAAGACGTTTCCATAGTCATACGATGGTAGTCCTTAAATTTATCCGGGTAGTTTCTTATAAGTAGGAAAGTTTTGAAAAATTCCACTTCAGATTTATCTTTATTAAACCGATGCACCCATACCTTTTTCCTACGTCTCCTATTAAGGAGAATATTCTTATCTTGTAAGCCACCACAAAAAATCATCTTCAGAGTCACTCATAATTACCCCCAAAACACATCTTTAACTTCAACCTATCGGGTCGAACTGAGTCCAGTGTAGGCAGTTACAACGGACTGCATGGGATCGCAGGGCGTCCGATGGTCGTCCCACATCTGGTCGGGAGAAATACGGATTCAATATAGGTGCAGCCTTAAACTGCGGTAGAACTCTGTATCAAACTATATTTGAATTGAATACACATTTGATACATTACACAAAAAAATAGTATATTCAATCAGTTTTCCATTCACGTATTGACGATTTATAAGAACATTGCACACAAATTTTGAGTAACTGAAAAGAATTTAATTTTTTCTGGAAATGAATTCAACAAATATTTTCTTGACAAGATATTGCATGCAAGTTTGGTGTTTATCAGAAAAATTAAGTCCATATCAGTTTTGGTTCAAATAACTGGAAGAAAATTTAAAAAATATTAAAAACATGTTTGGTTCAAATTGGTGGAGCAAACGTTTCGAAAAAATTGAAAAATAAAATGTATAAAATTGTGATAGCAGACAGCTAAACTTTGGTGGAGAAGTATGAAATTGAAAACTGAACAACTAAACTAAACCGAACAAAAATTTATTAGAAAAATGTCGAATTCGATAGGTCCAGAATATCACTGACAATTGAAAAAGGAATTCATATTCAGTTATTTAAAAAAAAAACTAATTGAAACTATTTCGTATGATGTTGACTTTGATGCCAAGTTTGTATATATTTTTTCAATATCCCAACATCCACTTTGGGGGTGGAAAAAGATGGGTGGAATGAGTAATTTTAAATCATGTATTTATCTGAAATTATTGAAAATACATTTTTGCAAGTGAATATGACAAAGAAGAAAACTTATTTTGAAGAATGGTTTGAAATGGTGTCCATAAATCTCTCATCACTTTCAGTGAGGAGAGTACATTTGAGATATGGCTATGAAAAAAGAGCTGAATGCTGCTTAATATGCACATACTAAGTCTCAGTGAAACTCAAACTATTCTCCATGGCAGGGCTTATATAAAATGTATCAAATTATTTTGTTAATAGATTATAATCTTCTTCATTTGGATCATCAATCACTATTTACAATCAATTTGAGTATGGATATCAGAAAATACAGTATACTAGGAATAAACCATGTGAAAAGTTTATAATTCAATAATTGGCTCTATTAAAACAATTGAATCACTCATAGATTTTTGATAGCCACTTGAGAAAGTCATTTTCGTCATAGCCATTTCGTCATTTCGAATTTTGACCATGTTTATCAGTTTTGGTACCATGGTACCATTGGCACTATATTCAAACCAGTGTCGCATTTTTTTGAATTTACTTTGTCGAGCAATAATTTTTATTTTGCAATTAGTTCTCGTACAGTGATTCAAATTGTATGGTAGTTGTATTCAATTTGATAAGAATTCGTATCTGATGTTGGATCACAAATCCATCGAGTTGCCTAAAAGCTACAGTAAAAGAAGATGACGAATCTAGTTAGGCAGTCGATGTCTAAGCTTGGTTTTGCAACGAACCGCCTTGGGGAGCCTCAATTCGGGAATTGAATCTTCTGTCGATTCCATAGATTGGGTCTTCGTAGGGGGTGATGACAACGCCTATACTTTCAAACTTGTTCTTTTTAGGATAGTTCAGTGGTTTAGCCTAGCACCACTGATGAGACCTAGTGGGTCGAAACAACGCTGTCTGGTATTGTATCACAAATCTATCAGTTTGGTAGTTTTTTTTGAGTTTATTATGTTCACACAGTCTGTCGCGGCGGCGGTCTTGGTTTTATAATTTGTAGTAATATTGATTATTACCCTCTACACAACTGAGTCTTACTTTCAAGGCATATTGATGAGTCATCAATCTTTCTTCATATAATAATTTGTTTTCTTTACCGTTTTACTTGGGAATGTTACCTTTCAATGCTTACCCTCTCTCTCTTCATGCTCATTTAGTTCCCCCAATTTACCTTTCTATCACTTCATCCGATCATGACTTTAATATCTTATTGTTTTCAATACAAGGATACTTTCATATAACAGAACAATCAATATTTATATCTCTATTGGTATAATGAGTGGCTCGTGCCCAAAACAGTATATTGGCCAAACAGGAAGAATATTTTCCAAAATAATTTAAGAGAATAGAGCATAGACATGAGTTCAATCCTGAATACGACGTGTTACATTTAGCAGAGAAGAGTTTGAAACTCAATCTTCTAGAATGTTTAGAAATCAATAGACTCAGGAATTCGGATAATTTACTGAATGATCAATTAGAATTGAATAACTACCCGTTACTGAATATTTTTTCAAATATGGAAACTGGAACATAAGCTCAGGAATTTTAATTCATTACAAACTTAGGTAAAAGTAAAAATCAGGTACTTAAAAAGTAGGTACTTCAAATTGTAAAATTAGGTATGCCTATCAAGCATTAAATATGTAGAATATATTTAGTGAAGACATGCCCGTAGAAGCCATTGTATGGCGAAACACGTGTTGGGTTTTTGTAAAATTGTTTAGTAAAAATCTCACAATACAATGTTTTTTGAATACGTTTGATATAATGAGGTTTTCAATTTCTAGTGATCAGTTTATTTTTGACGAAAATAAATATGGAACGGTGGTCGGAAGATTGAAGGAGATGATAATTAGAGGAGGAGAGAATATTTATCCCAAAGAAATTGAAGATTATTTGAACACCCATCCAGATATTATTGAATCACATGTAAGTCCATCAATTATCCAAGTTTCATACATCCACTGTTGATATTTATTATACAGTGCTTTCATGAATTCACGCATAAATTCAATATGATGATAAACAGTTCAATATACATGAGACCTACCTTCGAGTAATGATGTCATCACATGTCTTTTCGAATGAAATACTTACTTGTTTTTTTATTTCCGCAGTCAAATTGCATCATAAGTTGAGTAAAACAGGGTGTACAATATTATGAAATGTGTTTCACATATTCATTCGGGAAGTTATAAGTGAAAGTGATTTTAACAAATAAATTCAGAAAGAATGATCATTATAAACATTATAAAATGAAATTACGTCCCTATGAAATGACTGTATTTTCCATTAACTGTCACACAATGTATAACCAACATTTATTCTCTCAAAAATAAAGTCGAATCAATACATACGAAATATTGCAATTCGACTAATTATAGAAACAAATTTCAAATAATCATTTGAAAATATGACTTCTAACTCAACCACTGATTGATATTTCTTATGACAATTCATTCAGATTGTTGGGGATCAACACACGACCAAACTTTTATAGAATCACTTGGTAAACACTAACAATACTTCGTGGAAAATAAAAATTGATTTTCAGTTTTGAAATAAGTTCGATGACTATATCGGAAAGAGACATTGTATTGGGGAATGCTTCACCAGAGGTAAGTCTTACAGATGTTTCTCGCTCTTACATCATCAGGTCCACACTGATATCAATGGAGTCATCACCTAGAGACCGGTTTCGTGGTATTACCTCTAGTGTCTTGTCTTGATACTATGCGCCACTTGCGATAAGCAATGCAAAGAAACGTCTGGTATTATGGAAAAATAATTCATGGTTTCTGCATCACGATAATGCACCTGCTCACTCGTCATTGATGTTTGCTCGTAATTTTTTGGCCAAAAACAACACTTTAATCATGCCTCAGCCACCGTATTTACCAGATTTGCTCCCTTGCGATTTTCTCCGTTCTCAAGATTGAAAAGACATCTGCAAGGTTATTTGCATAAATGTGAGGTAACTTGCATAATTGAATGTTCATCATGTTATTATCCAGGAAAGGAATTGTTTTGCGACAGGAATTCATCAGATCGCAATATGTAGAAACATTGGGAGAAGTGGTGAATGTTTCGAAATTCAATGTCTAAATATTAATTTTCACAATAACACCATGAGATTTTGTTGAAACAAGAATGTCAGTATCGAAAAGATATGGGAGCTGCAGTAGGTGTGATATGGAGTATAGTATCTCTCGAAGAGTCCGTAATTTTTGCTACTATTGATCGGCAGAACCATTGACCATTGCAGGAAATACTTCTGTAAAGATTCCTGCACTGACACCTGTTGGATATAATCCAACGCCCTTCGTGGTATTAGCCAGGGGAATAATTGTTTTCTGATGGGTGTCAGTTCATCAACCTACATTGTAGGCGAGTCGAGACTGACCTGAACAAATTGCTCATTTAGTTAATTTGGTTGCAGAGTTGTTCGGGAATTTCTTGAAGCAAAAGAACTGACCATTCAAACTGACCTGTGTATTCATCAGAAGTGATTTCCTCAGAAAATTTGTCAGATTTATTTAAAACAGGATTTAAAGGGGTATCGGAGAAATATGAGAACGAACCTGAAACAATCTTGACAATTTGATCATAAGCATGAATTGAAGCTTGCATAATGGTGAAACGAAGCAACATTAAATATCAAACTGAATGAAACACATGTTTTTCTGAATAAAATTTCAAAGAAAAAAGGAACTCATTTTCTAGTATTCTGTGGATACATGATGAAATGAAATAATGTACATCTGATAATTTCTCATGAGTTTATTTCAAATGATCCTTATGACATTATGACCCTTTTAGTTCTCACCTGCAAACCTATATATGAACTTTGAATAGAACCACATATTCAAGCGAGTTGAAAAAAATCAAAATTGTCATTCAATCCCGTTTGAATGTGGTTGACAATATTTCTAGAAATGGTATTGACAGATCCAAAATATATGAATGAAATGAAAATTAATCAAATTTTAAAATTATTCGGACTAAAAATAATCGGATTGTTATATTTGGTTGATTTACTGAAAAACGTTTATTCTTTTTTTTTACATTACTTCTATTTGAATTAACGCAACGGAATATATACTTCGTTTCGATTAATATTAGTATTTTCAATAATTTTTAACCTTTAATTCATTTCCATTAAATTTCCCAACTTATTACATTCACACGATCCTCATTTGTAATTAAAATCTTATATTCATCTTATACTTTCATTTGAAATGAATTATTTTCAGGTTGTCGGACTACCACACAAAAGATTAGGAGAAGAAGTATGCGCTTGTTTGAGAACAAAAAACGGACGTCATTTCACTGTTGAAGAAATTAAAGCATACTGCCAAGGAACAATAGCTAATTTCAAAATCCCAAGTGTCCTCAAAATATTAGATTCATTTCCAAAGACAACTTCAGGAAAAATTCAGAAAAACAAGCTGCTTCGGTTATTATTGAATGAAGAGAATATTCCGTGACATTGACTGCTTTACCGAATACGGGTAACTTGTGTGAACATGTGCCAGTTTTAATGACTCATTATAATGCCATCTGTGGAAATTACGAAAGTGATGAATACACGGAATACCAAATGCTGTATCAAAGAGGATATTTTAACGATTATAGCGTTCAGAAATGTGTTTTGGACTATTTGACTCTAAAATTGGCCAAACCGGTATGGTTTGGCCAATTTTAAAGAAACGCAACTCCACAGACGTACAGATGCAACAGCAGAAGCCAGCTGCAGATCAGTGATTTCGGTTAGGAAAATAAAATGAATAACACTATCATGCAGCTATATCTACCTGCGTTAAATATGTCAAGCTGGCTTTTAATGATAACTAACACTTACATCATAGTTATGATGGCCTACTACTCTAAAACAAGTGTCTGTGGTTTTCTTTCCAAGTGCTACGTCTAGTAAGATTTTCTCTTTGATTTTATATCAACACTTTCGTTTTTGTATAAGAATCACTCTAAAATTCAAGGAAAAGTCGCATTTTTTTATGATCTCCTTCTCCTACAATCTGAAAAATTATAAAGTTTTAAAGAAATCTATGCAACGGTGACAGTTTGCATTTTTGAGTGCATTTTATGTGAATACTTTTTTTGTTTCATATGAAATCTTGGTTTTTGCAGATATTCATCCATTAGACTTTCCAAATGTAACTTTCCCATGAAAACATAAGCTATATATATATATTTTATATTTAATCTATATTGAAACTCAATAACCTTTCTGCATTATATACAGATACAAATGAATATGATTCTAGAAGAATATTTCATAATGACCTTTTATTTTATTGACTGTGTTTCGTGAATAACTACTGTAATAAAACACTTAAATTCAACTAGAATCGAACATTGAATGTTTGTTGAACAAATATGTGACTGATATATTCAGATAATCAAGTGGAATAGAATAAAATTAAGTTATAGATTTAATAAATCACTTTTTTTTAAGTTATATATTAGTGAAATAAAGAAATATTTAGGTGAACATTGTTTATTTATTTGTTGAACGAAGGATGTGGAACCAAAAGAAATGGATCATACGTATGTCTCAGTGAGTTGAAATAAGTTGGAACTATATGACAAACTCATTTATTATTAATTTCAGAAAAAAAGTTATTCCTCAGTGTCTAGAACCTAAAATGGAACCGTCGGTTATCAAATTCTTTCTGGACAAAAATTTCTTTTTGGACAATATACAATATTGTTATACGAAATGGATTATTGCAATGATTTACTTTTTTTCATCTCCACAATATGGACTGATTAATCACAATTTTCACGTGAGAGAATATTCTATTGTCGAAATAATCACTTCTGAGCAAAGGAAATAACAACAAAAATTTAGTTTTGAAAGTTTTGTGCATGTGGGATGTAGAATACATTAAATAAAAGGAGTGATATCATGTTTTCATTATTCCCAAGAGATATTTTCATTTGTTAAATAGAAAAATAAAATAACTATAGAGGCATCAAGATCCTTTGTATACGAGGTCGAGACATTTGATTGCATAAGTTGTGGCAGTTGTAATAACTGCCATTGCGATAATTAACGAAAAATACAATTTTATTCATCGGGGTCAGTCACTTGGTTTTTCGTTATCAATACTTTTTCAACAGAGTAAGCATTGAATTTAAGTTATGATTGTTGAACCTTGACGGCATGATTATCTTTCCTTCGAACTAATCATAACAAACATATCCTGTTGATAAGTAATAAGAGTTTGCATTTCATCCCCGTGGACAGGAAGTTCGGCCATATCTGAATAGGTGGGTCCGAAAATTTATTTGAAATAAAAACTGACCAATAACTTCAATGAAAAGAAGATTTGCCTTGAGTAGGAAGGGTTATGGAAAAATTTGGGAATATTAAACAAAGACCAGACCAATCAGGGGACAGTAGTGTAATAATAGAAGCTTTCTAGTTCCTTAAATGCTCCTTTCTCATTCATTTATCTTCTGAAATGAATTTTAGCAGCACTGTCACCAGATGCAGATTTCTCCGCATCAAATTCAGAATGTTAAGGCAGGTCCGAAAAAAAAGCTGTAGGGTTCGTGCCGATCGCATGAAGGCCGGCCTTTTGGAAACCCAACTACACCGTGTACCTTTTTGTGATGGTTTTCCTTCTAGGTTCCATTCCAGAACGAGGCAGGAGACTAATACTAAAGGCTAAAGGCCTTTTAACTATCCTGAAATGGTGCGGGACTTGCTCAAGTAGTGAGCCATTATAAACAACAAGAAGCTTTGGATTGGGCTTATATTACAAAAGAAATAACTGTGGAATAAAAATATAACACGAAAATCCAACAAAACAATTAAAAAATATCGAAAAGTACGATCAAAATTTTACAAGAAAGCACGTCTTAAATAGCTGATTGTCAAACAAATATTATCTTTTCAACAACTTGTGAAATGTTATATTTCTCCCATAAGGTAGAATTTCAACTTACATGAAAACAATTACTCTATTCGAGTTTTGCAGAAATTCTGAAGTTATTATTTAAAATTGCCTGGCTTCAAACCCGTGCGTACTAATCGCTATCACACATATGAAAGGGGTGTAGTGTAATTTGTTGTCCTTCTTATATTGTCTCCAAGACTCAACAACAATAAGACAATTATTTCAAAATTAAAATGGCAATTACTACAAAATTAAAATGACATCCTCTCTCTCTTTATACCGACATGGGGGTTAGTAAAAAATCCAAATCGACCCACCCGCAAATTTACTAGAATTCCACTATCGAGTAAAAAAAATCCTTTTTCGGACAGCCCCTTTTTTCGCGACCCTCTTCCGCAACTGACTTTCGCACCTTCTTATCGCGACTCTCCCAAATTAACTATCGATCTCAAAGGAATCTTTTCGCAACTGACTTTTCAACTGACTTTCGTAACTTCTCTATAGAAATTCACTTTCGCAACCTATTTCACGTAACTTTCTTTCGCAACTCCCCCAACTGACCAATCGCCACCCTGCCCTTGTACCGTCCCGAATTTTTCCATAACCCTTCCTACTCAAGACAAATCTCCTTTTCATCGTTATTATTGGTCAGTTTTATTTTAAATAAATTTTCGGAACCACCTATTCAGATATGGCCGAACTTCCTGTCCACGGAGCTGAAATGCAAACTCTTAGCTTGCATTTTTCGCTTTCCCAGTACTATTACTTATCAACAGGATATGTTTGTTATGTCTAGTTCGAAAGAAAGATAATCATGCCGTCAAGGTTCAACAATCATAACTAAATTCAACGCTTACTCTATTGAAAAAGTATTGATAACGAAAAACCGAGAGACCGACCCCGATCTTTATGAATAAAATTATATTTTCCGTTAATTATCGCAACTTATGCCACAACTGCCACAACTTATGCAATCAAATGTCTCGACCCCGTATACAAAGGATCTTGATGCCTCTATAGTTATTTTATTTTTCTATTTAACAAATGAAAACAACCTATTTTTTTCCATTCCAGACAACTTCACCTCATAGTAAGTTGAAACAACAATTAAAAAAATTCAATGATATTATTCAAGTTAGACTTGATTTGATGACGACTACTGATTCTCTACCAAACTGCACATACGTTGAATATACATTAGGTAAGTGATTTTTTTATTAGGTTCACTAGCGAAGTTTTCCTTCAGAGTGGTTACTTTACTCCAATCTCCCCTAGGGGTGAATTCTACTAGAAAATGTATCGTACAGATTAAATAAATGCTAGGAGATGTTGTCCGCCATCCTCATAAAATGAAACAAGTTATTTTCATATTTTGGAGCACTTGTGGTATTACCTCGAAATATTCATTAGTTTCCCCCACAAATGAATTCGAAGAACCTAACCGAGGAGTCTCTTCGTCCTATCTAGTTAGTTTAAAACATGTGCTTCAAATATTTATTCAAATTTTGCAAGTGATATGAAAGAGCACTGTCGTATTGAAACGTAATTTTTTTTTCAATGTATGCAGGACCCCCCCAATCGACCTTTTGTAATCCAAAACAAATATTTTTGAGAAAACATTTATTAGTTTTCTACTTCTTGATCAATACAAATGATGTAAGAAATTACCGAAGAAAGAAAAATCAACCCCAACTGAAAAATATTCTTTTTTCAATTAAACACAAACATATTTCTTCAATCCATTATAGCAGTCGCAGAAGTTAACGTTAAACTTTAGGTATCAGCCAAGTGTGTTATCTAAAGTCATTCATGATAGTTAATCTGAGTTAAATATTGTGTATTCAAATACACTAACTAGATTACTGAAAATCCAGAGGCGTAACGTTGGTGGCTGTAGTACCGAAGAAGTGGGGCTGGAATCATAGATATCAACAATTTGTGGACAATGTATTGTCGATATTGAATGAAGTCGCTCCAAAAAAAAAACGGTCAAGATCTTTCGACATTATAAGGAATTATGGAATGAGAAGGTGAGGCAAGCTACAAAAGAAAGGGATATGAGTTACAAACAGTATACAATCAATAAAACAACGGATAACTGTGAGAAGTATAAACAAAAAATGAATATAGCAGTGAAAACAATCAGACAGGAAAACAAGAACTATTCAGAGACAAAGATTGAATCAAATAAAAACAATTCTACTGAAATGTGGAATACACTGAAGACATTATTACCGAATAATAACAAAGAATACAAACTTACAACTATTGATTTGGGCAATGATGAAATAATTTCTGATAGGACTTTGATACCAAATGGCCTGAATCATTTGGTATAAAATAATTGAGTATAATAAATATAACTGATGCAATTGACAACAAATTTTCTCATAGTTTTCCTTTAACTGAAAGAATAACTGATTATAAATTGTCCAACTTTGGTCTTATCAATATGGTAGATCTAGAAAAAATTGTTGGTTCGTTGAAAAATAAAATTAGTCCCGATCAAATTTGTATAGAAATTCTGAAGAAGTGTTTCAGTGCCATTCGTATTCCGTTGTTGAACGTTATCAACAATTCTTTAGAGAAAGGTGAAGTACCAACTGAACTAAAATTATCCACTATTATACCTATACCAAAACGACCTAATACAAACCAAGCTATTCAATTGAGATCAATAAACATGATTAATGCTACAGCTATGTATATGAACAGATATTGGATTATTTGGAGAGTAATAGGGTCCTTTGTAAGTATCAATCGGGTTTTTGGAGCAAACATAGTTGAGAAACTGCGTTACAATGTGTGCGGAAATGGATCAGTATACTATTGCAGTATTTCTTGACCTTCAAAGGGCATTTGAAACTGTAGATAAATACAGATTGATTAGAAAGATTGAAAGCGTAGCTATTAATGGAATAGCAGTAAACTGGATCATTCATTCGGATAATATGCAGCTATATTAGTAAATATAGGTGTACCCCAAGGGTCTATTTTGGGACCATTGCTATTCCTCATATATTTAAATAACATTGTAACCATAGCAGAATAATGTAGAAATCATTTATTTGCCGACGATACCCTACTGTACTTTAGTAGTACATGTACATGAGTGTGTTGATACTATAAACGCTAGTCTTGAAACTTAAATAAAACGAAATGGATGTTATTAGGGAAACATAGAGATCATAATAATGAAAACCTACTTCTACGATTGAATGACAGTAATATTAAGAAGGTGAACAAATTCGTGTACTTGGGTGTAACTATTGACAGCAACTTGAAATTCAAGGAACATGCTAATCAAGTTATCAAAACAATAGTTTACAAAATCAACTATTTAAGAAGATTTCTCCCATATATGAGTCAGTAATCTAAATTATTAGTCTACAACTCCATATTCCTTCCACGTTTGAATTATTGTTCTACCATTCTGTTTTTTCTCAATCAAAATGAAATAAACAGACTACAATAGATGCAGAATCGTGCTAAGCGAATAATCTTACAATGTTCTAGGATAACACCTATAGCAAATATTTTGCAAACTCTTCAATGGCTACTAGTGAAAAACTCTTCGAGTACCGAACAGTAATGTTTATTTTTGAAATCAATTCTGTATATCTACAGAATAAATCAACTTATGTGGCTGAAATATATGGGCATAATACTAGAAACAGAAACAATATAAAAGTTGAAAAATATAAAATTAAAAATCACATTGTTCTTCATTTCATGAAGGAGTAGTTTGTTTTAATGACCTCCCTCAAGAAATTAAAGATAGTGGTTTAATAAATATATTCAAAAGATGATTGAAGGATTTTTTAATGAAAAAAGCAAATATCGTCTTTATTATCTTCTGATACATTTAAAGCAAATTAATCATGTACAGTTCATTTATTATATGAAGATAAAAGGCAAAGTTCAATTTACATGATGACAAGTCATCATTCAATTGCATTGCATTCAATTGCGATATAAAATCGAGGCTGTGACAGGAAAACAACTGAAGTGTCGGTCACCTCACGATGTGCGGTGAATGATCATTGAGTTTGGGGCTTCGTGAGATGGGGCACGACCATCGCAACTTAGGGAAATAATAATAATAATTTCGCATTTATTGTTTCCAGTCATAATGCCAAATACTACCGAGTTATAGAGTAAGTAACATAGAACCAAGTTCAATCCCCGTTATAGGAAATCACGATCTTCCACTCAAACCTGATATACCTATGTATTGTTTTTCGAAAATATTTCAATTCATTCTGTTCCTATAGATGATACATATTTAATTTGACATTGATTATCAGGTCAACATATAACGAGGCATACTTGTTTTAGAAATGAGAAAAAACAAGAGTTCACCTCTGAGATGGCATTAATATGTTTTTGTAGGAGGCTTGGAATGCTTCAAATTTGAATTTCTTAATTTCTTGCGGAACTATGTTGTAGAGAAATGTTGATAAACCTGATTTTTCGGTGCAAATAGAGTTTCTTAGTAACCGTATGATTTTATGAAACAGCCCCATGGAATGAAATACGCTCCTATTATCCATATTAAGCCACCCAATTTCTTGGAGTTTATGTGTCTTCTTCTGTCACTAAATATTGATCGCATACAAAAATTCTGAACTTTCTGGATTTCTCTCCTTTATTTTAAAGTGAGATCAGACCCATATGTAGTAACTGCACAATTGAATATGGGCAATATTGAGGACTCACATAATGTTTTCCAAACATCGAAAGGGGGAAATTGTTTGTTGCCATAGATACATTCGATTGGGAAGTAGACACGTTGTGAAAGTGTATTCTCTGACCCCAGAAACGTAATTCAGTATCTACCAAAACACCTGAATTCCTTGCTTCATTAACTGAAATAAGAAGTTCATTATCGAATGTAACTTTTATCGCTTCCGATACTATTTGCCGGTTAGTTTTCGATCCAAAAAGTATGATATTCGACTTTTTTTGCATTGATAATGAGGCAATAATCAGTAGCAGGTTCAATAAAGACTTCGAGGGCTTGATTGATCAATTTACAAGCAGCTTCCCTGTCCTGAATCGGAAAGCGTAAACACAATTGATATCTGGATAAAAATGTAATTTATAGCTGACAGGAGGATTCGTGAAATGAGAAGTATAAACGTGAAATGAAAGAGGCCAAGAATGAAACCTTAGGACATTCCAGATTTCAGATAGCAACTTTCAGAAAACACACTTTCTGTTTCCTGTACTGAAGATGAGCAGTCATTAGTAACAAGGCATTATCTGCAAAACCTACATTCTTCACCCTATTTATTATTTATATTGAAACATTTATTATTGATATTCATAATTTGAGATCTTCAGTGATATATTGCAATAACTAGCTAAGATTCTTGAGATTACTAGTGTATTGAAGCCACATTTGAAATTTTTTCATGTATATTTTGATTACATATTTTTTATAAATATTTCAGAATCCAACAATCATCACAGGGGTCACAAAATAGTATAATTGATGTTTCACATCTGCCAGGCGTCCCATGACGGCAGTCGGCGGATTACTAATATTCATGTGTGAGAACATTTTTCTTGTCACCGAATATATCGTCATAAAAGGTTTTATTAATTTCCTACCAACAGAATATACAGGCACGCCACTTCAGCAATACATGTAATTTCAATTGAAAGAGGATCACTGATAAGGAACGATATCAACGAATAGTCATCTGCTTCAGTGTTTTTGTTATGAAAACAGCAAAAGAACTATATAACCTCATAAAGAAGAGCATTTAAGTTCTCAGTTCAGAATAAAATGTTCAGGCTCACGAGTATTAGAAAAATAGTAAAGATCGAAAAGGAAACCATATGGTGAGTGTAATAAGTAGTTTATGGTTTTTTAATCTCTCAGCTCTTCTTTCCAGTCTTCTTTTGTTATTTCGCTTATCTTAAGTCTTTTTAGAATGTCCCTGTTTTGTCTTTCAACCTCCCCATTTTGTTGAGGCCAGTAAGATATTGAATGAAAAAGAGTGATTCCATTTTCTTTGCAAAAATCAGTCAATTCTTTTGATGTCAACTGTTTGTCGTTATCTGAAGTTATCGATACTGGAAAACCTAGTCTTGAAAATAATTCGTGTAATACCAATATAGTACTGGCTGCAGTGATATTTCGCATTATTTTGTAACGACTGAAGTAGTCAATTATTACGAATAAGTAATCTCCACTAGGTAAAAGCCCCAAGTAGTCTATTGCTACATCAATCCATGCTGATGTCGGAAGTTCCCTGCGTTTCATTGGATCTGGGTGGTTTGGAGCCGACACCAATGTACACCCCCTGCACTTTCTTACTAAGTTTTCAGCGTCATAATCGATTTCTGGCTACCAAACCTTTGTCCTGAGCCTATTTTTTATCGCAACTATACTTGGATGGCCTTCATGTGCGGCTCGTAGAACTGTTTTCCTGAGTTCTGTCGGAATTACTATTTTATTTCCTCGAAAAAGTATGTTTTTATAAAAACATAACTCTGGTAAAAATAATTTGAAGTTTGTTGTGGTAGCGTCCCAGATGTTTTGAAATATTCCTGTTTTCACCCTCTGAATTTCTTCGTCTCTCGAAGATGCGTCGTCAATCACCGCTCTCGGTCTCGCATACTCGACTAATTGATAAATATAATGTTCATCACTATTCGAAGTATTCTGTGATAAATTGTTGCAAAGTCTAGACAAAGAATCCGCGATGTTACTTTTTCCTGGCCTATAAACTATTCGAAAATCAAATGATTGAAGACGAAGTACCCAACGTTCAATTCTTGCACATGGCTTCGATCTTTTCCCAAATATAACGCCAGAGGCTTATGATCCGTTATCAGCTCAATCTTTTTTCCATAAAGATACATTTCAAAATGTTCTACAGACCAAACCAGCAAGGGCTTCTTTTTCTGTTTGGCAGTAGCGTTTCTCGCAGTCGGTCAGGCTTTTATTTCCGTATGCGATAACTCGAGGCTCGAAATTCTGAAGCTGTATCAAAAAGGCACCTAAACCGACCGGACTGGCATCAGCGATCACCTGCGTCCTATCTTTTGGATCATAGTATCCCAATGTCTTGATATCTTGTAAACTATATTTCAATTTTGAGAATGCCTGGTTTTGTACTCGTCCCCAGTACTTTTCTATATTTGCATGTTTACCAAGCTTACAATGAAGTATTTTTCTTATGGGTTCCGTAAGCGTAGCAAGGTTGGCAATCCATTTTCATACAAAGTTTAGCAGACCCAAGAAGCTTTAGATTTCATCGATTGTTCGTGGTTCTCGAAAATTCTCTATAACTTTGACATGAATTTCTAGACGTCTGATTCCTCGTGCTGAGAGATGGTGTCCTAGAAATTCAATTTGATCTATTTTATATATACATTTATTTTCGTTGAGTAAAATATCGTTGTCCTTCAACACCTTCAGTGTCCTTTTCACTCGTTCATTATGTTCAGAATAATATTTCCCATAAATGAGTATATCGTCGATAAAGTTTACTGTTCCCTCACATGTTTTTCCAAAATCCTTACCAGTATTTTCTGGAATATTTCCGGTGCGCAAAATATTTCGAACTTGAGTCTTTTGTACCTAATAAGGCCTTTATTGGTGATGAATGTTGTGATATATCTGGATGTTTCCGATATTTCAAGCTGGAGAAATGCCTTCTTGATGTCTAGCCTGGTGAACGATGTTGCTTCTCTGAAATGTGGCAGTAAGGTATCCATTGTTGGTGGAGGATGATTTTCTCGTAGGGTAGCTTCATTTGCCCGCCTCATATCTATATTGGCGAAATCCATTTAGCCGGTTCAGTCACTGCCTTTATGATGTCTGAATCTGTCAGTTCCTGAAGTTTCTCCTCTACTTTGGATTCTAAGGGAATCGGTATCCTTCGATATGACTGACATACCGGTTTCACTGTATGATCAACTGGAACATCAACTACAACATTTTTAAATTTTGGAAATTGTCCAATAGCGTTAACTCCAAAACCAATTTCAAGGACTCCAAAGGCCATAGCAATTGATTTTCCGAGAAGGCCTAGAACCACTTTTTATTACGTAAATTACGTAAATTGCTCTCTCGCTGTTTGACCCTATTGTGATTTTTCATCTGAAAGAATCCATTATTTTCAGAGGTTCTTTGCTTCTGTAAGCAAAAGCAATTTTTTGGGATTCCTGACTTGGTCCCAGACCTCAACTTTTTTTTGTTTCAGGTTAGCTCAAGTTTGATCATCCAGAATATTACTCTCACTTCCAGAGTCAATCAGCATATCAATGGCAACTCCCCAATGTTACATGCCGTTGTCGATTTGAAAGACATAATCAATTTCTTCCTCCTTCGCAGTTTCTTTTGAAAAGTTATCGGATATGTTTCTCTTGATTTTCGCTGGCCTACTGTGACCTGAGATATTGTTATGTTGGCGTGTCTTTGGATTCGTTCGACAGTAATATTGATAATGTCCTTTGTACCCACATTTACTACATGATTTCAATCTATAGGGACACTTTATAGAATTTGAAGGATAATTTCCGCCACAACGGGAACATCCTTCCGAGCGAGAAATGTGGTTCACCTCCATCACCTTCGGTTTGAGGTCAACAAAACCTTCCAACTGCCTATCGACAGTTTCCACGGCATTAGCTTCTGCAATGATTCCATCGAGATTTATTACATCACCAGTGGCAAGAATTTTTTTCCTCAGTTCTACCGATGTGCATTTTTCTACGATTTGATCTATCATGTGTTCATCCACATTAGTAAATTTACACTTAGCTGCTTGGTTTCTAAGTCGAACCAAACATTTTTGAAATTTTTCCCCATGATCTTGCTTTGTCAGACGGAAAAGATGACGTTCATATATATTTGACAGCTTTCCATCATCACTGGGTTGCATATGTGCCCCCGGGAGGTTGTAATATACCTCCTGTAGTGCGCTTCCAGCGCAATGATGGAGGGTTGCTCTCTTCTTTGCTGCATTTTCGATGTTTGAAGCTGGCTGGCCTTCACATTCAAAAGGTTGAATGGACATAAGGTTTGCCATGTTGTGGGTCACAAAGCCCTGTGGATAAATTCCACTTTTATAGTTTGAACATTATCAACCAATGCACATACAGGCCAATATCCCCCAAAGTTTGACTAGTTTATCCTTGCCTTATCAACACATTATAGCACCATTTTCAAAATAGATGCTAACATGTATGTCTCTACGATGTCAGTCGAGACACATTGACATTTAGGTACCTAAGAGAGATTAGGAGAGATTAATGGATTGGAAATAAATAAGATAAATATATAGATAAGGAAACACATAAAATCTGTCCCAACCCATGCTTCACAAAGGATTTGCCGGTTGTTAGTCCAATTCAAGTTTTTTAGGTGTCTCAATTGACTTCATGTAGTGTATACATACATTTATAATACTCATAAATATTTCACAATTATTTCATTGTTGTTTATTTTTTTGATTTCCAAGTAGGCTTTGGATTGATGGGGAGTTTTTCTCCCCTTTTGACATCTTGTGTGCCAATCATCCTAATTCAATACTGTTTCGTGATTCACTTATTTTCAATAACGATCACATGGGTTATATTGCCTGCATGTCTCAGAATTAGTTATTTAGACATAAATGCTCGGATGAAATATCGTTTCACTTACTTTGTATATTGAAAGATATCCAAATAATCCTCGTCGCTACTTGTAGAATACTCAATGGGGAACAATAAATAAACACTCGTCACTTTATAAAAAATAAAACGGTATAGTCACCGTTTTATTCGGTTATCTGTACAGAACTGAGCTCTCTCTGCTCCCCAGAGTTAAGTAACAACCTTATTCATCATTCGGGATGACTTCATTAATCGATACAGTAAATCCTAATGCTATGCATATTCTACAAGGATTATCTAAATCTAAAAGATATGTATTAACTTCGTTTGAGCGTATTTAAATGAAATTGGGAACATGGATTGGCAATCTTTCATTTCACTACGAATTCTATCCAAGACTAGAACTATGAAACAATGTGAGTCGACATCCCTAAATATAGCGCCTAATGTTTTTGAAGACATTATTTGAAAGAAATATTATATTTCGAAGGCAGATTGTGGAAACCTCAAAAATATAATTTTATTTTGTTGAGAATCTTATGTCACATGTCTCATGTCACATATCTCATGTCTCATATCACATGTCTCATGTCACGTGTCTCATGTCATATCTCTCATGCCATATGTCTCATGTCACATGTCTCATGTCACATGTCTCATGTCACATATATCATGTCTCATATCACATGGCTCATGTCACATGTCACGTATCTCATGTCATATGTCTTATGTCACATGTCTCATGTCACATGTGTCATGTTTCATGTCACATATCTCATGTCAGATGATGTCTGTCGTAAAGAGACGAAACGTTTAGTACTACAAGTGCCATTTAATTACGGCCAACCAGCCCCGATTTCGTACTAAAACTTCTTAAATAAATATTCTTCAAGAAAGTCTTGTACGTTTGAAGGTAGTTGACAATGTTTCTTGGTGAATTTCATTATTTCGGACTTCCATTGTCTAATATGATATAAATTGATTTGAAACACCAAAAAAAATTTTTAAAAAAATTAAAAAAGAGATTGGTTGAAAAAATAACACTTCTATTGAGCAAAAAAAAGTCTTGTACAATGCAATTTTAACGTTCTGAAATACTCTTCTGAGAAACTTATAAATTACTAAAATAGATTATTATTTAATATTTTTCCATTCTAGAAAACCCAAAAAAGAAACATCAGGAAGTGATATTGATTTTTCAAATGTTATGAAATCAAAACAAAATTCAATAAACC